AAAAGGATACAGAAAATTGTTAAAGAATTGTTAGCAGAAATTTTCCCTAGCATTATAAAAGATACGAAGATTAGCATACAAGAAGCTGAACAAACCACAAACAGGTTAGATCCCAAAAGAAAATCACCATGACATATCAATCAAATTTTCCTAAATCAAACAAAGGGTAAGAATCCTGAGAGCAGCTCAGGAAAAATGAAAAAAACTGCCTACAGAGGAGTGAACCAGTAAGACTAAGCTCTGACTTCTCAGTAGAAAATATGCAAGAAGGAAGGCAATGGAATGACATAAACAAAACTCTGAGAGAAAAACATTTCCAAACAAAAATCATATGCACAGCAAAGCAGTCACTGAAATATGAGGGCAAAATTAGGACAATTCCAGAAAAACAGAAATTAAAGGAATTTGTAATAACCAGGCCAACTTTACAGAAAATACTAAAGGAACTGAGAACCAGTAACAGAAGACAACAATCGGACACTGACAAACACAGCAACACCACCCAAAACTCAATTCAGAAACAGAAACATTGAAAGTAAAACAAACCTACAGACTGAAAATAGAGAACCCGAGAAGTCAAGTTACAATAAAGTCAACTATAAAGCAAAAAGAGGGAATAGCACACAGAACTTCCAAATGGCAAGGACTTTTTAAGTAGCTTTCAAGATAAAACAGATTGTTATATAAAAATTACAAATAATTGTAATTTATTAATAAATTACAGGGTAATTCATTAAATTAATAAATTACAGTGTAACCTCAAAGAAAATGAATACAAGTTCACATCAAAATAAAAGAGAGGAAAAATCAGAAAGATTTAGTAAACATTAACACAATAGAAGCGAAAATGAAAAGAAAATGAACTCAGTGCAGAAAATTATATGAACAAAGAAGCCAAGCACCACACACAAAAAACAAATAAACCACAGACCAAAATGACAATAATCAATTCATAGCTATTTACAACTACACTGAATGGAAATGAATTAACTGCACCAGTCAAGACACAGAGAATAGCAGAATGGAAAAGAAAACCGGATCCTTCAATATGCTGTTTATAAGAGACACATCAAAAAAGATGAAGAGCGCATTAATGCCACCAACAGAAGAATGCTTACACAAACTTCAGTACATACATACAATGGAATACTGGTGGTAGTGATGTGCTGTGGAGTCGATTCCGACTCACTGCGACCCTGTTCAGGGTTTTCGAGGCTGTAAATCTTTACGGGAGCAGAAAGCCTCATCTTTTTCCTGCGGAGCAGCTGGTAGTTTCGAACTGCTGACCTTGGGGTTTGCAGCCCAATTCATAATCACTATACCACTAGAGCTCCTACATAACATTAAAGAATAAGGATGAGTCTGCAAAACACCTCACAACAGGGATGAACCTGGAGGACATTATGCCGAATAGTATTAGTCAATCACAAAAGAACAAATATTATATAAGACCAATGTTATAAAAAGTTAAGAAAAGATTTTTTTTTGTTAAAAGAAAGATTCTATAATGGAAAGGGGAGGGAAGATTATTCACAAGCTAGAGAGTAAACACATGTTAACATGGGTGACAGGGCAGGCCACACACAAGTGGGAGGTTAACTGTAAGAGTTAAAGTGACTAGAGATAAATATTGTTGTCCGCTGATACAGGGAGGGAACTGCAACCATTGTAATGAAGCAAAGTGTATTCGTTGTTGAAAATAACACTGATCATAAGCTATAAACCTCTCAGTTCACAATAAAAAGTTAAAAAAAAATCCTGAATGGGAAATATACCTGTTTCACAGAAGAAAAAAACATTTCCCAGAGAATTCAGACCTACCAGGTGAAAAACAGAGATTTCATGTATATAATTCACCTATATGTATAATCTATCTTTAACTTCTGACTGCTAAAATACCTAGATGCCCCACTGTAAAATTAAGAACATAATATATGTTTTAATGAAGTGAGATGAAAAATTGAATTACACAAAAGTGCTTTCATACTTTATATCTTCATAGTAACTCTTTTATTAAATGTTAAATTGTTGCTGACAAAAAGAAGAGTCTCAGAGAAGTTTTAAGACATCTAAGCAAAAAGACAAAACTTGTTTTAGATTAAAAGAGTTGACATTTAAAAATGAATATGAAATTTCAAGTACCTCTTTTATTTCCCATTGTCCATTATTGGAACACAACTCTATTTTTTCATTTATGTATTGTCTATGATTACTGTCAAGTGATAATGGCAGAGTTAAATAGTTGTAACCAAGACCAAATGTCCTTCCTTCAAAGCCTAAAATATTTACTATTTTTTCAAGTACCTCTTTTTTAGCAGGCATTCAATAACTATGTTATGAAAATATGAATATCTATGGACCTGGTGGGACTGTGGTTAAGAGCTGGGCCACTAACCAGAAGTGTGTGGTGAAGTGTTAGAGTACCAATTGCTCCATGGGAGAAAGATTTCGCAGTCTGATACTGTAAAGAGTTACATCCTTGGAAGCCCTTTGAGGCAGTTCTCTGTCTTACAGGGCAACTATAACTTGAAATCAACTTGACTGGGCAGTGGGATTTCTACTCCAGCTGATTTGTTAATGTTTCAAATTTTTAAGATATTTAGTATTAGTAGTTGGATTCAATAAAATAAAAACAGCTCAGTAAATAACTTGCATTAAAAACATAAAATGTATTAACTACACTGAAATAAATCACTGTACTTATACAATACTCAATGCCATTGGGTCGATTCTGACTGATAGCAAACCTATATGTGGTTTCAGAGGCTGCCAATATTTATGGGAGCAGAAAGACTCATCTTTCTCCCTTGAAGTGGATGGTGGGTTTGAATGGCTGATCTTGAGGTTAGAAAATACAGTGTTTACTCCACAGTGGCACCAGGGCTATTGCTAATGTAATTTTGTTGTTGTTGTTGTTGTTAGGTGCAGTGGAGTCGGTTACGACTCCTAGCGACCTTGTACAGGATTTCCAAGGCTGTAAATCTTTACGGGAGTAGAAAGCCTCATCTTTCTCCCGCGGAAGAGCTGGTAGTTTTGAACTGCTGACCTTGCGGTTCACAGTCCGATTTGTAACCACTACGCTACCAGAGCTTCATTAATCCGTATCTGTACTACAGCCTTCCAGCTAACCTCCTTGTGCTGCTGCAATATTATTAATCTTCCTTATACCCTTCAATTTGCAGTGTATTAATGAGACAATTGGAGGATGTATGTAGAAGGTGTTTCTTTTTTTTCAAAGAAGAATATCCAATAAGTAGGCCTCAGTAAAGGAAATGTTTTAAAAGATAAAGAGTTGCTAAGTACTTGGTTACATATATATATTTATATATATAAATTTCACAGAAGTGACCAGACAATGATTAACACTGCTTTTTAAACTAGAAATGTTATGCTATATAATATAAAAATTTATGGTATAAGTGAAGTGACTTATATGCCAGCTTCAGAACCATTAAAAAAAATGATGATTTTGGAGATAGGGCTTAAACTGCTGAGAAGAAATTTTACAATTTTTCAGAAAAACTAGATCATAGAATGAAATGATAATTCAGTAATTATTAACAGAGCTAGTAGAAAGAAGCCTAGATTAGAAGTAAAAAATCTTGGAATCTAGTCTTAACTCTAAAGAAAAATTGGTTGTTTAATGATATAAGGAAAACAATTACATTTTTGTTATTGTTAATGGCCATTGGGTTGATTCCAAGCCACAGTGACCCACATGTGCAGAGCAGAATTGTGCTCCTGGAAAGGCAGTGTAATATAATGGAAAAGAAGAGAAAATTTAGATTCAGAGGACCCATGCTTAAGTTTCCATTGTGCCATTTTACTCCCTGTAACATGTTAAGCAAATGTCTTAGCCATCTTAGCTTCATCATCTTTTTAGTCAGGAAGAGAAACATACAAAGGACTGCTGAAAAGCATGAAGCTATGAAGATTAGATCCCCCAAATCTGGCACTAACAAAGATTACAATGATAAAATAGTTGGATATCTGTTTCTCTGATATACTTTCCAGGATCCATTCTTTTTACTTAGCAAGAAAAGGCAAACAATGTAGTTTAGCATCAGAAAGATCTTCTGAAACTAAGAACATCTACTATGGTTTTGCATTGTTAGGTATCGTCGAGTTGGTTTCAAGGAAAGGGTTCCAAGGAGTGGCTAGTGGTTTGAACTGTCAATCTTGTGAGTATCAGTTCTGTGCTTATCCTACAGTACCACACCAGGATTCCAAAACCCGTTATTAAAAAGTTAGTATTAAAGAAATGCGCACACTATCTTTATCTTGAGTTTCATTTTTAGAAAGGATATAAAACTTTTCCATCCAAAAACGTAACACCTGTTTCCAACAACAGTTTTCAAAATAAATAATGAAAAAGCATGAATTGGAACAAATTTCATATTAAAGAACTTCAAAATGAACTGAGACAATAGCAAACTTTAATATTCAGAGATATAAATGTATAATCATTTGAATTTTGGGTAGCCAAACTAGCTTATAAATAAAAATTCATGCAATTCTGTGTTTTCAATAAAATTTTTATGCCAAAACTTGTCCAAAATAAACATTTGGGCATTTAAAACCATTCAGAAAATTCATTACCGCTAAAGGGCAACTTCAATTAATCATTTAAAAATGAAATATACGTGGAGTTTCATTAAAGAAAAAAAAAATTACCCTACAAATAATCTCATTTTCATTTATTCTTTTATTTATCAATAAAATAAGTCAAATCTCACAGGGATAAAATAAATCATTAATATCAACATGATCTGAGCCATCAAGATGTCAGAATCCAGTGAAGGAAAAGGACATAAAATAAACTAACAGGTAAAAAATATAACCCTGGAGTCCTAGACTATGCACAATGACACGAGTAAGGAACAATGGACTTCCATTATTTTTTTCACATTTACTAAACTTAGCAAGGGAACAAACAAACTAACCCCAAAACACCTCAATAAATAGTGGACAAAAATTAACAAAATAGGAATTTCCCTTACTTGGAAAATCCTTTCCATCTGGATAGTAATATTCTGTAAATTCTATGTAGACAGCAGACATTTCTTGTGGAAGATACAGGGATTTTTTATTGCAGGAAATCATACTTTTAGGGGAAGAACGACATTGGTCTGCTGTAGAGACCTGAAAAAAAAAAAAAATGTATGCAATGTAAACAACACTGAAAAAATTTTCAATCTACTTACAGTGATGTATTACTAATAATTTTCCAGTGCAAACTTGTATTTTTACTTCACAGTTAACTAATTTTCAAGTAACAACCTCAAAAGTAGCTAGTGGGTTTGAACTGATGATCTTGTAGGTAGCCACTTAACCCATTGAAACACCAGGTTCCTTTGATTATCTGTATAGCTTTTATAAATTTTAGTCAGTTTCTAACATTATCTAGTTAAGATGTTTTTCTCTGCATATACTGAAACAAATCCCTTTCAACTCAGGGAAGTGTCGAGTTATTTTAATGGAGAACAGCTTATTTCCATTTTACAGTTAAAAAGTTACTCAAATTTGGATAAGCACACTATTTTATTTTCTTCTAGTTATTTTTGTTTTGTTTCGGATATGTTTGTGCATGTGGGGTTTCTTCAACGTATCTCACTTTCATCATTTGGGATTATGGAGGATTCTCCTCCCTCATTTCTGTATGAATTCTGTGTGAGTTCCTCATTCTGTGTTTACATTTGTGTAAATACTACAATTTTCTTTCTTTGGGGTAAACATTCCATGACAAGAGAATGTGTAAGTATAAACAGTTTTGTATTCCTATTTTGAGTGTCTCTCTGTGGTCACTGTATCCTTAGTTTTATTATCTCCTCGCAGGGAAAAGCATTTTGAGTAGCATTTTGGAATTATCTTTCCTCACTTAGTCCTCCCTAGAGCTCCCAGGGAGGAGGGGCTTCCCTACGCATGCATGGCCTAGTCCCCTTTCTCCCTGCCTGTCTGCTCCTCTCCATGCAATCTAAATGGAAGGAACACATTGGGGAGCCTCCAGGGTAATGCCAGGACAATGGCAGGGAAGTAAGGCATTAGTGAATCCACTTGGCTGCAATCCTCAAATTAAGCTATCCAATCCGGTCTTTGGCTTTCATGAGTAATGACATTTTTGTCAGCCTCTCACTTGATTGTGAACTCAAGCAAGAGTGAAATGTATTTTGATTAGCCTGAAACAATCATATGCCAGAATTCCATCAATTTTTATAGATTATGTTATCATTAATCACTTCATTAATTTCTCATTTTTTTTTTTTTTTTTTTTTAGATTGTCTCCTTCTTACTGCTATGGTGAATATTGCTGTGATGAACATGGATCTGTGCAGATGTGTTCATGTCGCAGCCCTTATTTCACTAGCACATATACTAAGTTGTTGTTGTTGTTGTTATGTGCCGTCGATTTGGTTCCAACCCATGGAGATTCTCTATAGGGTTTCCAAGGAACGACTGGTGACCTTGAACCACTGACCATGCAGTTCAAATGACTTTGCAGTCCAGCACATTAACCCACAGTGCCACACAAGGACTTCATATACTAACTAAAGGGATATATATTTCTCTGACAAAAATTTCGAAGAAGTACCATGTTTCCCACAGTACACCATTTTACAATCCCACTAGTGTCCCTGGTGTGGTGCTGTAGATAAAACACTGGATTGCTAATCACAAGGCTGGTGTTTCAAACCCACCCGTCATTCCTTTGGAACCAATTCAAGGGCACTTAACAGCAACAACAACGTTTCGCCATACCTTCACCAGCATTTATTGTTTTCTGTTTTATTTCATGTTATTATTAATGCTAGGATGAGATTATATCTCATTTTATTTAATGTTTTATTGAGAATTATGTGATAGTCTACATGGGAGAACATTAGTTTTACATTCATCCTATTGTATATCGTTTTATTGCCATGGTTACAATCCCCTCCATGCATCATCAACCAACCAAACGGTATACCCTGCAAGCCTGACCCGTCATCAGCATACAGCCCCTCTCCCTCTCTGTGTCTAAAGACCCCAGCTGCTTCATCTCTCCACTTCATCGTCTCTGCCTCCTTCTCTGGCATCACTGCTTCTCTGGGTAGGGTCCCACTCTCCGCTCTTCTCCCTCGATGGTCCCAGGGACCTCCACTCCTAGACTGTAAAGTTAATCACTCCCCTCCTTGCTACAAAACGTCTATCTTTATATTTCCAACCCTAACAATAAGTCCTGATAACAATTATTCACTCTTATATCACAAGAGACCAATTCACATTTCATTTCATCAGCCCCACCTAAACAGATTGGATACTACCTTCCTTCACGCCCTCTGGATCTAGGTTCCCTCTTGAAAGCTTGTAAGCCAGTCACTTCTTGCCTTTGTAGCCCCCCCATTTTGGGTAGCCATTGTCCAAGTTACCCATCCCTGTCTACTCTGTGTAAGGAGGGGGTGGGAATGATCCTTGTTATAAAGATTTGTTCCCTCTTTTGAGCTACCACATCCATAGGTATAGGTCAAGTTCATCAAACTGTATCAGATTACTCTTTTTTTCCACTTCTTTCATCTTCTAGTTGAGCTCTGATCATGCAGTCATTGAAGCCTGTTCAAGTGGGTATTATCTGCAAGTGTGGGTGTACTTGTGCATGTGCCCTCTCTTCTTACTAATCTCTCTTAAGTGTTCATTGACTGTCAAATTTCTAGGCATATGATTTCTAAGTTTTGTAAAATGTTCTATTCTTTCTTTACCAATATTTATTACCCTCTTTTTAAACTCTGTCACAGTCATTATCTCTAACATTATGAAGAAAAGAGGTACTAACAGAGAACACGCTTATTTTGCTTTTTTGAAGACAAAAAAATTATAAAAATGTACAAATACAATCTGTTAACTATTCTGAGATATAACAATTCATTCCAACACCTAAAAAAAACACCACAACCCACTGTCATCAAATAGATTCCGACTCATAGTGGCCCTCTATAAGGTTTCCAAGGCTGTAAGTCTTTATAGGAGCAGAAAACTTAATCTTTCTCTGACAAAGCAGCTGGTGGGTTTGAGCTGCAGACAGGGAAGTTAGCAGTTCAGTGTTTATCCTATAGCACTAACAAGGTTACTTTATATTTCAACATAGACGTGTGAAATAAAGCAATGCATTTTACAAACAGAAAAGACTTAAATCTTCTATAAATATAACATTATATACAGGATACAAAAAAAGAAGTGATTATACATGAAAGTAACTATTACATCAGAGCTTCTCAAAGTTGGCTCTCCTGAAACTTGGGGCCAGAGAACCCTGTACTGTGGAAGCTGTCCTGTGTACTGGAGCTCAGACATACCGGCCTGGAAGCTCTGCTGAAGCCTGATGAGCATCGCAGTGCCATGCAAGCCTCTGCAGATCCACAGGCGGTGGCTGTGCCAGAGGACAACTAGCTGGACACTGACCCCTGGTGTCCCACATGCCAGGCAAGAATCAGACCCATAACAATTCATAAATTAAAACACACAGCTGCAATACTTTATTTCATTCTAAAAAATTAAATTAAAATTATATGTAACATTTAAATCACATATTCTAGGGCTTTGGTTTCAAGGATGTCAACATTGATCATGTTGTATGATTACAACCTTAATAAAACTATTAGTGTAAATGGCACGGAGTTCTTAGCTATAAAATTATGTTTACAGAAGACAATTTGGTATGGCGACCTAGTATTTGGCAACACAATAAAACAAAAAAAGGCATTTTAGTTCCTTCCTCTTAAAATATGGGATAAATCACATAACCAAAAAGTAATGAACTGAAAACTTTTATCCCATCTCATCTGATCAGTTTACAGAACAGGTCAAGATATAATAGGATAGCATTAGTTCATTAGATCTGCTTGTAGGTAATAGTAAAAGTGCTTATGAGAAGATTTAATGAAAACATTAAAACATACCTGGTATATATTAAAATCTGCAAGTCTGACCACAACAGAACTAGACATCAGCTTAGCTCTTGATTGCTGGGATAATACTGAGGGCGTTCTGGAAGATACTTTCAGAGCTGATTCTTTCTCTGTACAAACAAAAAATCCTTTCAGTTTATTGCAAAAGTATTTTAACAGTCAATCTTTTATTATTATGACAGCTACCAGAACTATGGAAGAACCCTAATTTCTCAAACAAGATAATATATTATAAATACATTATAAAGGACAGTATTTAAATTTATTTTTTTTAAACGTTCTAATGTTAATAACGGAGTCCTGGTATGATGCTGTGGTATTAAACTGCAAGGTCCGTTTTAATCTCAAGGTCAGCAGATCAAGTTCACCAGCTGCTCCTTGGAAACCCAATACAGGGCCGCTACGGGTCGGAACCAACTTGACAGCACTTAACAACAATAATAACATACAGAGGTAAGGAGTCCTGGTGTGGTACGGTGGGATAAAGCATTAGACTGCAAAGTCAGTCTGAATCACAAGGTCAGCGGTTCAAACTCACCAGCCACTCCTTGGAAGCCCTATATAGGATCTCTATGATCAGAACCAACTCAACGGCACTTTAACAACAATATACAGAGGTAGAGTGTCCTGGTATGGTACTGCAGAATAAGCACTGGAATGCAAATCACAAGGTTGGCAGTTCAAACCCACCAATCAGTCACTCCCTGAAAACCCTATATAGGGTCACGATGAGTTAGAACTTCTCAGTGGCACTTTGCAGTAATTTAGGGAGATAAGTCATTGTGATGATGATTCTTCTTTAAATAGGAAACATACAGCACATTTAAGACACTGTCCTACAAGAAATTTGTGTTTTTTTTTTTTAAGAAATCCCTATTTTAAAAGTAAAAAAAATTATTCCCATTTAAAAATCTGAAATAGTCTACCTGGGCATTATTATTGATATACTATTAATTCCTAATACCTGGGCAATATTACTGATATATTATTAATCCCTAATAATTTAGGAATTAAAAGATAAGTAGTTGGAACCCACCAACTGCTCCACAGAAAAAAGGTGGAATAGTCTGAACCCTTAAATGTTGATAGAATTTGGAAACTCTATGCACTGCTCTACCCTGTGCTATAAGGGCGCTGTGAGTTGGAAACAATCTGATAGCCGTGGAAATACTAGTTTTAAAAGTGCATTGGTCCATAAACCTATGTTTGTCTGAATGAAAGGTGCAAACATTTTAAGACAGTAGCATTGTTTACAGAAATATATTATGAAACACACAAACACACACACACACACACATATCAGGGGAATGCCATAATGCTGGTATAGGTAAAGTACCTGTTTGTGTGTGCTGGGGAGAGGCATGTGGTGGGGATTTAGGAGGTGAACCTACATTATGATCCTTCACAGCCTGTTTAAGCATTTCAACGTTGCATTCAAATTCATGTAACAACTCGTCGGCCCATCCATTTTTCGTTTTGGTTGCATCACTAAAATACATCCAATGATTACAACTATCTCCTGTAAAATGAATAACACACATTTCACTAAAAAAAGCATCATTTTCACTTACTTTATTAAAACAATGCTTCCAAAAAGATTTACTCACATAATCAAGGGATTCATTAATATTCTAATAAACTTAAAGTCTTCATACACAACTGATTTCAATCTTTCTAGAATGTATGATTAAAATCTTCAGAAAGGAGCTAAAGAGTATAAAACGCAATTGTTTTTATCTAGATTCTATTCTTGGTGCAGTGACACTCAAAGTATCAATTCAAAGAAGAATTAATGGTCAACCTTGACTGTTCAACTACCTAGTAAAACTCAGCTGGACGGAATCCTAGAATATACCATCACAGAAACATCTTTTTATAAAAGATTTATGGTACTGTGAGTTACAAAAGTCTTATCCATAAAAATGATCTAAAAAGGATTATTAGCCAAATATTTAAGAAAACACTAAAACACAAGACTGGATATCAGTGGTAAGGTAAAACACAAAATTAAGATGATCACATTTCTTTAAAAAAAATCAGATTAAATTAAAAAGTAGTGCTATAAACATATAGAAACTTTAATTAAACAAAAATGTAAAAAAGCTATCCTCCATCTAGGTCTATATATTTTTTGAAGGTGGTGTTTCTGCCTCTCTAACTTTTCCGAGAAATCTACATTCTTTGATTTATACCACATCAAAATGGCAGTTTTGGGATCTTCAAGAGACCAAATTCATGTACTTCTGAAATGCTGTTTAAATTCTGAAAACAAAAAGATGTCTGAAGGGGCAAGATCAATGCTGATTGTTGGCTGAAGTCAGGCTTCTCAACAAATTCTCACAGAAGAGCCCTTACTACCTTCAAAGAATAAAGAGATGCATTGTGCAACTTTCCTGGCCTTTTTCTCACCAATTCGGTCTTCAGTTTTCTTAAAATTACTTTCTAATAAGCCCGTGTTGTTACCCAGTGTCTTTCAAGAAAATCTATCAAAATTTGCCCTTTGTAGTTTAGAAGAATTCAAGAAAATACTAGAGAAACAAACAGACAAAATAAATGCAAATTTTGAAACAATACAAAACCTGTAATTAGAAATTCAAAAGATTAATACTAAGATCTCAGAAATGGATGATATACTAAAAAGGCGAAGGGGTAGATTTGATGTAAAGGAAGCTCTAATTAGTGACCTGGAAGATAAATCTCTCAATACTAGTATGCTAGAAGATAAATCAGAAGAAATAATGAAAAAGTCCAAAGAAAGCCTAAGAATTATGTGGGACACCATGACTGGAATTCCAAGAAAAGACAATAAAAAGTGCAGAGAAAACTGTAGAACAGTTATTGGAAGAAATCTTCCCTAACATCATGAAAGTTGAGAAGATAAACATACAAGAAGCCAAACAAATCCCAAACAGGGCAGATCCCAAAAGGAAATTATCAAGACATATCCATAATCAAATTTTCCAAAACCAATCCTGAGAGCACCTCAAGAAAAATGAACAGTTCCCTACAAATACGACCACGGTCTTAGTTCTCAGTAGAGACCCATGCAGACAAGAAGGCAGTGAGATGGCATACACAAAACTCAGAGAGAAAAACACTGACAACCAAGAATCACATACCCAGCAAAGCCGTCCCTCAAATACGATGGTAAAATTAGGATGATTCCTGATTAACAGAAATTAAAGGAATTTGTAATGACCAAACCAACATTACAAAAAATGCTAAAGGGTGCTCTTTGGACTGAGAACCAGCAACAGCAAACAACCTGAGATTAACAGACATGAAAACAACATGCAATCTAGATATAGATTTAAAATAAAACAAACCTAAAAGACCAAACATAGAAAACCAGGGATATCAACTAATAATGAAGTCAGCTACACAGTGGAGTCCAGGTGTGGCACTGTGGGCTAATATGTCAGACTGCAAAGTCACACCAGCTGCTCCTTGGAAACCCTATACAGGGTTGCTATGGGTCGGAATCGACTCAACAGCACTTAACAACATTAACAAACAAAGCAAAAACAGGGAATAGTGTAGATACTGAACTTCCAAAAGGTAAGAAAGCCAAGTAGATTTTAAGAGAAAACAGACTGTTTTAAATGGGGAAGAAAATTAATAAATACAGAATTAGCTCAAAAGAAAATTAATATATTTTCACATAGAAATGACAAACAGCAATATAAGTAAGATTTAGTAGACATTAACACAACAGAAGTGAAGAAAATGAAATGAAAACCCAGAAAGAAAATTAATTCAGTGCAGAAAATTATGTGGAACAAAGAAACCAGCAGCATCACCAAAAACACACACACAGCAAAATGACATCAATCAATTCATGTTGTTATTGTTAAGTGCATACATCCAAAAAGACGCAAAGATCAAAATTAACACCGTAACTAAACAATTAGAAAGACAGCAGCAAAGCAAACCTATGGCCAACAGAAGAAAAGAAATAAATGAAATAGAAAATAGAGAAACAGAAAGAATCAACAGGACAAGAAGTTGGTTCTTTGAAAGGATTAATAAAAAAATTACAAGCCATTGGTAAATCCATCCACCTACAATCAACTGATCTTCGACAAAGGCCCATAAGCATTAAATGGGGAAGAGGTAATCTATTTAACAAATTAAGCTGGCAAAACTGAAAACATATTTGCAGAAAAATTAAACAAGACCCATACCATATACAAAAATGAACTCAATGTTTAAAGACCTAAATGCAAAACCTACAACTATACATCAATGAAAAAATTGGGATAAACTTAGGAACTCTGATACATGGCATAAATATACTATCAAACATCACTGAAAACACACAAACAGAAGACAAAATGATGACTGGTACCTCCTAAAAATTAGATACTTATGTGCATGACAGGATTTCACCAAAAGAGCGAAAAGAGAACCCACAGACTGGGGAAAATGTTTGACAACAACATATCAGACAAGGACTCCTCTCCAAAATTTATAAAACACTTCAACGTTGCAACAAGAGGGCAAATAATCCAGTTAAAAAGTGGGCAGAGTAATTGGACACTTCACCAAAGTAGACAGTCAGGTGGCCAACATATATACAAAGAATCATTAGCAATTACAGATGCAAATCAAACCAACAATGAAATATCATCTTACACCAGCATTAATAGTAAAGTTGTAAAACATTTTCTTTTAGGCAACAAATGCTGGTGGGGGTATAGAGACACTACAACCCTCCTCCACGGCTGGTGGGACTGTAAAATGGTGCTACCACTGTGGAAAACTGTATGGTACCTTCTCAAAAAGTTGGAAATAGAAATACTGTATGACCCAGCAATCCCTCTACCTGATATATAAGAAATAAGAACTGTGACATAACTACATATATGCACACCCATGTTCTTCTTTGCTGCACTGAATAGAATATTATATTGTGAATACAATAGCAAAAAGATGGAGACAGACTAAATTCCCATCAGCAGAAAAATGGGTAAATAAACTTTGGTACATATACACATGGGAGGATCACAAAATATTGAAAAACAATGAAGACCCTGCAGAACACTAAACGTGGATGAACAAGAAGAACCTTAAGTGGTGTGAAATTAGTCAATCAGAAAAGGACAAATACTGCATTAAACCACTGTTGTAAAAATGTAGAAAAGATTTTCTTGATAAATGAAACACATTCTATGATGGTTACAGGGCAGGTGTGGGGGGGGAGGAAAAGAAAGTGAATAGAGGTAAATACTGATAACTGCTGGTACAGGAAATAAACTGAAATCATGTTAATGACATGAAGTGTATAATTACTGAATGCGGGACTGATAATTGATAATCTGTTCTGTAAACCTTCAATCAATTTACACACACACAATTTTTTTTTTTTTAGTTTCCCCTTTGTAATTCCCCTCTATCTTGAATTTAATCAGCCCAGTGGATCTCTTAGCAAGCCACTCTATTGAATGAACCTTCCAAAAGAATATAAACGT